CCCAGGCCTCTGGTAGAGGACCTGAGATTGAGGAAGACACATACCACCCATAGAGGTGAGAGGGGATCGATCCATCCATCCAAGATGGGTTGCATGTACTGAATTAAAAATGGAAGGAGAAATAAAAGTAAACTGGAGTTCATAAATGTGTGTATTCTGGATACACGTCCACAGAGAAATCAGGGATGATTAAGACTTAGGGATCCCTGAAAATTCCTACTGATCTCTGAAAATTCCTGCTGATCTGACCGAAATGCCTTGGAATGGCATTAATTACCAAATGCCTTCCCAAACATTCTTATGCATTCTTGCTTAAAAAGTAACAACCTAAGGATTTGGGGCAAAAACTATTCAGAGATGCATATTTTGAGGAAAAACTACATTTAAAATTGCCTACTGAAATGTACACTGTCACATGGATTTTAGTTGCAAATTACAATGGGACGCATACCTGGAAACAGACTCTTTGGCCCACAGTTAGCTTTGTTCCTTGTCCAAAGCACTCTCAGTGGGTGACCCAGCTGGCAGTCACCAAGTAATGTGTGAAAAGACCTGTTCCAACTACAGCCAGTTCTTTCAGCCAACGTGTTGATCTATGATTTGACATAATATAAGGCCTTCTGTTGAACTCAGTTTAATTGTATATACCCTTTTTATATACAGAGGACTGCTTGGGTTAATAAATTATTTTGTTTGGGAGGGGGGAAAGAAAAGGAAGTCTTGTACTGGTGAGGCAGCTGATTGTCTTATAGATGGGCTGATATATTGTTAAGGGCTGCTGCTTTAGAATTATGGCACCATTACAGTCCTTTATTTACATACGCTGCTGAGACCGTGAAATAAAAGCCCAAGGAAATAGATTTCCTAACAAGAGACAACAGAGAGAGACACGCACAAGACATAGAGCAAAATGCGAGTAAGGACGCTGAACTACCCCCTTGGGGCACTTACTCTCCGACAGCAGCAGTAACGTAGGGCAGGCTAACTAGCATTAGAACATAAAATGGAGCAGCAAGACATTCGGATGGGAACTGCTTGTGTGTCTCTCCTAATAAAATGAACCCTAATTTGAAGATGTTCTTTCCTTCCAGCAGCCAACGTAAATGTGAGGCATTCAATCCATCGAGGGATGGAGTAAAAGGACAATTAGCTTAAAGTGATTTGGTAGAAAGGTTTCAATTTGAACATCATGCTATTTGCTGAGCATTCCTATAAACAGAGTCCAGCAAGATCGATAGCAGACGAGATAGCTTCCCTTTTACTTTGCTTATTTATGTGGGGAACGCTTGCACTAATTTATAATACGCCAAGTGAAAGTTAGGCACTGGCTTTATCTTTATTACTCAGAAACATAAATAATTGTATTTAGCTATTTTCATAAAAGCTTCTGCATCTTTTGAATGATGATCCTGCTTTCCTTGCTGGATCAGAAGCATTCATCCGCCCAGACTTTACATTTGCAAATGAAAAACTCTTACACATACAACTTTGCATGGACATACGTCCTGATGTTGCATATCAAGTGTGCTAATGCTTTAGTGTTCAGGTTTCTGGACTCTATCATTTTTTTTTTTTCGGCCAAGCACGTCCTTCAGCTCATATCCCATAAGACTGAAGTCATCTAGGAGACAGTCAGTATTAATACGAAGGCTGCAAAGAAGCCTGAATGGACAAATGAGACAAGCGAAAAGGTAGGACTGGGATGGTGCAGGATGGCCATACAGTGGGAAAAATAGTAGAATGGGTTACAATATATTCATTGGTATGATATGCACGCATACATGTATGTACAGTATTAGGTTATCTACATGGATAGCCTGTAGCATTTTCCACCAAGAATTCATTTCTAGCAGGTGGGATTAACCACAAAGCAACTTATCCAGTAGAATACCATTTCATTTTTTTTCCCAAGGAGAGAGCCACAAAGTTGTTTCAGTAGAATTAGATGCAAAATTATTTGCATGAGCTTCAAATACAAGTGGAGGCACATACTTTCAGCAAGGACCCACCCAACCATTGGACTGTTCTTCTATGTTCCATGTTGTATATGCAACAGGGACATGGTACAAATCTACATGAATTCCAATATTAAGGTGGCTTGGAGTAAACAAGGAATGGACTATAATGTACCTTAGGGAGCGGGTGGCTCTAAAAATCTGTCCTGATATGAATCAAATCACTCCTCAAAGATCATAAAAAGGGGGTTAAGGGACTTTCAAAAATCATAAAACCACAGATTTGGAAAGGTCCACTCAAACTCCTGCTTAGTGTAATAAAGTACCTCCTGAAAGATGCTATCTAGTCTCCACCTGAATGTATATAATGAGGAAGAGGCCACCACAAAATTGGATAATTGGCTTCACTATTGAACTATTCTTATAGTAGGAAATATTCTCTAGGATTCAATGGGCCTTTGTCTTCCTGTAATCCGCTGTTCTGTGTCCTGCCCTCTGAGATGAGAGGCAACAGGTTTTGATATTCTTCTGTGTGACATTCTTTTAGGTATTTGAAGAAAGGGTTAGGGATCAGACCAGGAAATCAACTCTACAGGACGATTAAAACTATTGTTACTGTGATTGGCTATAAAAACAGAATCTTGCAAGTCTGATTGTGTTGTACCTCCTCCTTATACTCCATTGAGTATAAGATGTCTGCCTGAGCCCCTTCCAAATGCTATCTGGTTGCTCTGAACTTAAAAACATTTCAGCCCCTTTCCCCTAGGAAATGGTTCTTGCATACTTCCATCAAGTAATATTCCATCTTCCTAACTCTCTACAGTTTCATACTCCCCATCAGTCTTCCCTTCTCCAGGCTAAATATTTTATCTCTCTTCATAGGATGTTATTCAAGGTGAGATCTGAACAACAGAACAGGTTCAGGATAAAAGGAAATTATTGCTCCCCATGATACTTCAGCATTTGTGTATAATCTCACCAAGGAACAGGAGAAAGTAGCAGTAGGAAGAGGGTTAGACTCTGTGATCAATAGATTTGTCCTCAAATCAGAGAACCAAATCATTGTCCCTGTGATCATCATCATCATCACCCCCCCAAATGGATGGTCCACAGCACAGCATCTTGGACAGGTTAGGAGATCACTTGAATGATTTATTGCAGCGCAGAACCCCAATCAATCATCAAGAGAAAGAGTGATTTAGGGGCACTCAGACCAATTAAGAGTGCAAAAAAAAAAAGTGCAAAGAATTATTGTGAATTTGGGGAATACTGCCCAACGCACAGGGAGTCAATATGTCTGACCGAAGACAAATGGAGTATATTATTAAATTGACGGCTCTGTGAATTAATGCTACGCAGAAAGAAATGCAGGATGTTTCCAATCTCTCCCTGCAGCTCAAAATCAATCGACAAATGGACTGAGGGTTGGCATGAGAAGCTGAAGCCACAACCCAGCTCACCCCCCGCCCTGAAAAATCCCAAGTACAATATGAGAATATTCACCACCAGATGGCACACTGATACAAGTTCCTCCGTTCTGACAAGGATTGCGTTCACAGGCATCAGGGTACAGCACACAACCAAGCTTCAGTTCTGTTAGTCCCACCACTTCTGCAAAGCTGCTGCGTTTGTTCTGGAGGGGCAACTCGTTGTTATTGAGGATGATGGAGTCCAAACAGCCTTGAAAGCCGCTCAAGACCTGGGTGGACCTCTTGTCTGTTAAGCTTCGGACATTATCCACCTGTACCTGGGCTCCAAAATAAACTGAGCTATCAGTGCTGAGTGTCTGGAAATAAAGGGGGGCTTTGCGCCTCTCCACGTAGCTGTCGTCAAGAGAGAGGCTGGTGAAATTCCGGTTCAACTCAAGGAAGACGGAATGCCAACTCCCATCATTAACCGTCCTGCCTGAAATTCCCAGGATGCCCGGGCCAGTGCCACAGTCCAACTGGAACCACAGTTTACCATCCACAATCTGCAAATAGAAAATGAAATGTCAGGAAAACAGAGCCTGTAACAGTAGAGCTAGCACTGCCCTAGCATTCTGAACTCTTCCAGTTCATTTAAACTCTCATTTTACCAAGCTGAAGTCACATACAGTGTCTTGCCAGACAACTGACAATATAAGCTTTGCTCCCTGGTTTACATCTGAATCAATCCAAAGGTTTGCTTATTATTTTTCAAGCATTAAATGGGGTGTTGCCTTTCACATGATTCCCCATGCTTCTCAGTTCATGGGTACACGGGCTGCTCCACGTCCTAGAGAAGCGTAGATGGCTGAAACATGGGAGCAAGTCTTCTGCATGATAGCACCCTTTGCCCTAGGATGTTAGTAATGTGTACTTCCAAAGATCGTTCTTTCCTTATCTGTGCTAGGAAACATGCCTTTAATTTGGAGGGGAGGGGATGCCAAACATTCTGTTCTCTCCCTTAGGAGGAACATGGTCTGCAAATCAAAACTCAGGAATCCCCCAGGTCCTTGATGGCCCAGTAGAAAACCTTACACTGCGATGTATTTCCTTTGGCATGAGAAAAATTAGCCTTGATGGCAGTGGGATTGCCTCAGAAGGCCAACTGCTGGGAGATAGCGGGCCTCCTTGTGCATGTTGGCTGGCCATGTGACAACAGACTGCTGGACTAGATGGGCCAGGGGTCTGATCCAGCAGGGCAATGCTTATGTTCTTATGTTCTTAAAACAGCCCAATGGTGAAGGAGATTTTGACTTCCGAGTGAGGAAATCGCAAACTAGACATCTCCGAAGAAGCAGAGACGGTGTGGCCAGGACCGACAGACCAGCGACAAGCCCAGTCTAATGGAATCTCTCCAGATAAAAGAGAAGATGAGAGATCGCCCTTTTGTACTCTGGACAACAGCTCCTCGTGAGGAAACTGCAGGACAGTGGATTCCCGTGGGTCTGAGGGCCAGGAGATGATGGAAGCCATCAAGCTCTCAACTGCGGTGGAGCCTTTTAAGGGCACTAGGTTTGTTAAGCCTCACCTTCTTTGAAATGTAATTACTTTAAAGTTGAAAGAGATCTTTGAAGCAAAGAGTTTGAAAAACCACCTGGTGAGTTAACCTTTGATAACCTCTGGGGGAGATGGGCAGCATACAATTTTAACAATAAATAAATAAAATAAAAAATAAATAAAAAGACAAATTAGCTAACAGCCTAAAGAATGTAAAGAAATGGAAGTAAATGCAAAAAGCTTAATAAGAACTAAATCTAAGAAAGTTACAAACAAATTAAGGGACCAGACAACTTTGGAGCATTAGGATTTTTGTTAAAAGATTTGGGAAATAATAAAATAAACAAAACAGAATTTTTGTGGGAATATAAATTGTTTAGTCTATTGAAAAATAAACAATAGAAAACTCAGATTTTGCAGTTTTAGAAATGAAATACTAGAGGGGACTAAAGATTTCAGGCAGGAGAAAAATGGAAGGACAAAAAAGAGAGAACAGCCTGTCTTTCATGGGACCTATAAAATGACAGACAGTGCTATGGCATTGGAGACATTTCAGGAGATTTATGAAGAATGGGGTCAGAAAGTGGTAGCTACAGTGTCAGCAACAATGTTTGCTTATATGGATGTATTATTTGCAAAAGATTTTAAAGAAGAAATGA